TGACAGAGAACTTACTTGGTTGGCACCCAGAGCTACTCCTCAGGGTCCTCCATGGTCGTTGAGGGTCGTATTTTTCTTTTGCTGTTTAGCACAGGGCCTGCCAGACTCCAGAAGATCCTGTGGGCTAAGAAATCTGTAGGAAGACAAGCCTACCTTGACCTGAGCAGCTAGTCTGTCGATTTCAGTGATTTTGTCCACTGTCTGGAGATCTTCAGTTTAGATGAAAGGCAGTTATGTCCAGTGGTCAGCACTTGGCAGTTGAAACAAATTGCAGATGGACGTAGTTTTGTGCCCATTTGTCTTTTGCCTTCTTTGGAGGACATAGAGTGCTGCTGCTAGGAGCCAACCTGTCTTTTTTTGTTATGAAAAGTTTTTTAATAATTAAATATTTAAATGCCATATTCCCCCAGATCTCTGAGTAGTTGAGGGCTGTTTATTAGGTATAACTACAGTATAGAATAGAAGGAAGATCTGCTTGCCTTGGGGGGTTGGGCGGGGCTTGTCTCTTAAAAGGACAGGACAGACCATTACAGTACTAAAATCTGGTGGCTGACAATTGCTTGCAACTCCAGCTGCTGGGGTCCTGTCACCCTCTGCAGGCATCCATGACCACCCTCACATACATGACATACACTCACATACATACGTAAAAATAAAAAAATAAATCTTTGGGGCTAGAGAGATGACTCAGTGGTTAAGAGCACCAGCAGTTCTTGTAGAAGGCCCTGATTCAGTTGCCAGCACCCATATGGTGGCTAGTCATTGTCTGCGACTCTAATTTTAGGCACTCAACAACTTCTTCGGGCACCGGGCATACATGTGGTTCATAGACATATATGCAGACAAAGTATTCATTCACATATAATAACAATAAATAAATCTTTTTAAAAGAGGAGGAGGAGGGGGTGATTGTAACTCAGTTTAGGCTGCGTGCGGGAGTGATCCCGGAGATTGTGTTGTTCCTGCTATACTTACCCTGCCTTCCCTAATGAAACTTCTGTTACTAATTCTGTCCCCAAGGTGATTTTCCTATAGGGATGCCAATAGCTTTCTTAGGATCAGTTAGTACATTGGACTCTTGTGACTTGATCGGCAGCTAGATGAAAATGTAGACTCAAGTTCTCAAACTTGCAAAATCCAAAACTGAAGCCTAACCAGCTCCTTTAATGAACCCCAGGATGGACTGTTTCCTCAATCACTTGTTCATGCACAAGGCAAAGCCATGAACACAGTTTCCATGGTGGCTGTTACGTGTGGACAGCCTACAAGAAGGGGGAACTAAAGTCACCCTCTGAGAAGCGTAGTGATAACATTTACTACGCATCTGATCCTGTTCTGGGCACTTCCAATATGGATTTTTCTCATTAGATGTCATCGCATTCCTCTGCTCTGCATGCGTCAGCCTACCTTAAGGTGAGAAAGAAACCCAGTCTCAACGCTGCTGCTTAGAGAGACAAGGCTTATTTCCCCTGATGCAGAACAGTAACAAAGAGTTCATAGCTGTTTGGGTTAAGGCTTCATCCCAGCCCCTGGCATCCATCTATCCAAAGAGTCTGGAAAGTTTGGGTGGAAAATTCCATCCCAAGCCCCCTCCCCTGGGAGTTGCCTCAGTCCAGACTCCACCCGCAAGAAAGCCTGCCGAACGATGACCCCCTCCTCAGAGATGCTCAAGACCCACAGGGTCTTTGTAAACTGCAACCCAGAGAACAAACACGTGGCTTTCCGGTCTTCCTTCCCATCTTCATCCATGGGGGCTGGAAGGCCACCTGGGAGTGTTAGTATCTATTAAACCTGGACTTTTTCTAATTCGGTTTGATTCAGTCTAATTTGGATTATGGTGTCGGCGGAGAGGTTTATTGGGCAGCAAAAGCTTTTCATCAACCTTGTTCTTGCAACACAAACACCCCAAAGCACAGCTCCATCCCGATTAGCATGACCAATTTACAGTATGGATTTTGAGTATCCTCCATGAGCCCATGGCTTGGTCCCCAGTTCAGAAATTTCAGATGTATTAGAAAGGTATTGGGAGGTGTTCAGATCATAGAGAAAGCACCCTAAAGTGGGATTTTTGGATCTAGACCATCTTCTCCTTTTTTATTTCTAGGCTATGTAGTGAGGTTTTATTAAACCATAAGTTTCCTAGTTCGATATGCCAACAATGGAACCAGTCTATTATGGATTAAAATTTCTTAAATAGAAGCCAAATGAGCTTTTCTCTTCATAAGTTAACTTCAGCGTTTGCGATAGTGGCATAAAATTGACTAACAGACAAGGGTAGTGAAAAGTTTCGGCACCCCATAAGCCTCTCTGCCGACGCAGCACTCCAAATCAGACCAAATCAAACCAAATTAGAAAAAGCCCAAGTTTAATGGATAAAACACTGCTGGATGATTTTCCAGCTGCTCAGAGAGGAGACAGGAAAGAGAGATCAGAGAACCACGTCTATTTGGGGGGGGCAGTTTAAATATCTGATGGGCGTAGTCTTGAGCATCTCTGGAGAAGGGGCTATTATTTGGTGGGCTTCCTGAAATGTGGCAAGGTTTGGAGAGAGATGAGGGAGGGAGATTGGGGTGGAATTTCTACCAGATCATTCCAAGACTCTTTGGGTATATGGATGCCAGGGGCTGGGATGAAGCTTTCACCAGAACAGGTAGGTTGAAAGGTCAGTTTAGAACTGGTGTTGGGTTGGGTGGTGGTGGCAACAGATGCCTTTAATACTCAGGAGGCAGAGGCAGGAGGATCACTGTGAGTTTGAGGCCAGTCTGGTCTACAAGAGCGAGTTCCAGGACAGGCAATAAAGCTACAGAGAAACCCTGTCTTGAAAACAAAACAAAACAAAAAATAATTCTAATGTAGATATATCCAAAATAAATGAAGTTCTTACAGCAGCTGTGACACACGCTTCCCTGCAGTCTGTCATCCATAAGTTTCTTACTGCTGGACCATCTGCCTTCAACATCACCTCTCTGATTTCTCAAACTGCCCAGCTCTCTACACAAACCCAGCCATCTAATCTGTCTTCAATGTCTCTAACATCCGATGCTTCGTCCCCAAGATCCTATGTGTCTCCAAGAATAAGCACACCTCAGGCTAACACAGTTCCGACCAAACCTTTGATTAGTACTCCACCTGTTTCATCACAGCCAAAGGTTAGTACTCCAGTAGTTAAGCAAGGACCAGTGTCCCAATTGGCCACACAGCACCTGTAACTGCTGACAAGCAGCAGGGTCGTGAGCCTGTCTCCCCTCGAAGTCTTCAGAGCTTAAGCAGCCAGAGAAGCCCATCCCCTGGCCCAAATCATACTTCCAGTAGTAATGCATCAAATACAACAGTTGTACCACAGAATACATCTGCTCGGCCTGTGTGTTCATTAACACCTACACTAGCAGCACTCTTCAATGATAATCTCATAAAACATGTTCAAGGGTGGCCTGCGGACCATGCAGAGAAACAGGCATCAAGAGTGCGTGAAGAAGCCCATACTATGGGAAGTGTTCACATATCAGAAATATGTACTGAATTAAAAAATTTGAGATCTTTAGTTCGAGTATGTGAAATTCAAGCAACTTTGCGAGAGCAGAGGATACTGTTTTTGAGACAACAAATAAAGGAACTCGAAAAGCTAAAAAATCAGAATTCCTTCATGGTTTGAAGATGTGAATAACTGCACGTGATATCCTATAGGAACTGTAAATCTTTTGCCCAGTCAGAACATTTTGAGCTGCATTAAGTGGACCGTTAAGCCGGGCACATGAAATAATAAGGGGACAGGGATCTGTGAGAGTCAATTCAGGGGATGGATACAAGACTGATTTGTAAAACCCTTGAAGTGTAGATTTCTTGTAGATGTATCTTCATCTGATGTAAATATGTTTTGTAGAGTGAAGCCATGGGAAGCCATGTGTAACAGAGCTTAGACATCCAAAATTAATCACTGCTGAGGTGGCTAAATGCCTAGCCTTTTACATGAAAACCTGTCTGCAAAGTTAGCTTATTTTTAAAAAAGAAAAAAATGGGGGGGGTTAATTTGTCATTCAGAAATCTTGCATTTTCAGAAATCCAGTGCAATCGCCAGGCGATCTGTGTCTAAGGATATAATTTTGAGCAGTGTACAAATATCATGAGACAACTGTTCCGCTCTTGGACCTGATCAGGAGCAGTTCTGCTTCATTTGTTTTGCAAAGAAATATTTTCATTTCCTTATGTTCCATTCCCTCTGAAGTTCTTGGCCTGATTTTATCCATTTTTAAGGCGCCCCTTCTCTTTTCTTAGGGCACTGATGCTGTGGTACTTTTCTAGAGCCTTCTCATTCCTGTGCACAGTAGCTGGAAGTTGCAGTGGTTGAGCATAACCCACGTTTGTACAAATTATTGAAATTCATTTGTACCCTGTAACAATGGACTTAAAAGTACTGCTGGGCAAGTGTGCTGAAAGTACATTGATGGCTCAAATATAAGAAAGTGGCCCAATGAACGTGGTTGTGGGAAGGGAAAAGGAAGCAAAGCTAGTCAGACATGAATTGTATCTGTTGTAATAAACATGTTTAAAAATGAAAAAAAAAAAGAACTGGTGCTGTTTCCACCTGCCAGGCCATTCAAAGGATGGGTGAATCCAATGACTATTTTTCAGAGTAATGTAGAACAATGGCACTATCTCACTGAACGTCCCCGACATACACACGCCTTTTTAAACAAAGACAGGGTCTCACCATAGAGTCTTGGCTGCCCTGGAACTTGATATATAGACCATTCTGATCTCAGACTCACAGAGACCAAACTTGTCTCTGCCCTCAGAGTATTTTGATTAAAGGTGATCACACCTGGGTTATGCTCTTGTCTTCTAAGGGTTAATACAAGTGTACTGAGAAATACCTAGGTTCAGTTAAGGGGAACATGTGTAGGATGTTTCTCTTCTCTTCTTGTCTTCTCTCCTAAGAATTCAATTGCGACACATAATTTAAGAGAAGTTTATTTAGCAAAGCAAAACAAAATACACTCCAGGCAAACGTGGGGCAGGCTGCCGGAAGGGAGAGTCCACTGGGTTCTGCACTGTGGATTTTTAAAGACGGTTCTTATAGTCTCCTCCTCTTATGATGTCATTGTCAGTTCCTTTCTTTGACCGCCTTCATGTCATCCTACTCTGATATGCTCCAAAGGTCAAGGTGTCCTTGTGCTCCTTTACATTTTCTCCTTATCAAGACGTCCTTCAGTGGCCCTGTACGGTCCCTGGGAAAGTGTCATGGTGCCTTTATTTCTGCAGGATGGGAAGAACATAATTGCTGCATCAAAGCTGACAAGCTGCAAAGGGTTATTTCATCCCACCCAGCTACCAGGATATAGTTGTTTCCTGGGTTAGCGTAGGCCTAAGTCTCTGTTTACCCAATCAGCTGGTCTCTAACTGCAGAAGAGATGGACAGCTTCCACGCTTCTGCTCCTGTGTACTTGGCTATCTATTCTACCAGAACAAGGATGCTGAAAGAATTCCTTCCGGAGGGAGTCAGGAAACAGCACCTACTCTCTTCATAAGAGCCCATTGACAAACCAAAGCACAATTCCACCAGAGTCCACCCTGGAAAACCAATGATTTTTTAAAATTTTTTTTATTTTATTGTTATTATTATTATTATTTTGTTTTTCAAGACAGGGTTTCTCTGTAGCTTTGGCACCTGTCCTGGAACTAGCTCTTGTAGACCAGGCTGGCCTTGAACTCACAGAGATCCACCTGCCTCTGCCTCCAGAGTGCTGGGATTAAAGGCGCGTGCCACCACCGCCCAGCTGAGAACCAATGATTTTATGGGGCTTATTTGCAAAGCATGAATAAGAGTCTACTTGTAAGGGCATAGGTGACCCCAAAGCTACCACACTGGATAGTCTTTTCACCCAGCATAGTTCTCTTCAGTGAACCTCCCCCCAGCCTATATCTGCTAACACCCCTGAGGCCAAGTGCATCTAGGGAAGAATTGCATACACATGGTTGAAAGGAGCAGCTAGATTCACAGGTGTGGGTCTAATGACCCTCCCTACTTTCCCTTTCTATGAAAAGGTGTCAGCAATCAACAAGCTGTTTTCTGACAGACTCTTAAAAGCAGGAACAGCTTATCTGATGTAGACACAGCTGTTTTGCTCAGGACTGCCTTTTATAACACAGGCTATTGTAGGGAGCAGAGGAAGCTCTGAGTAAGTGGAGTACGGAGCAGTTCTATCTTTAGATATGGACAAGGCCTGCCAAGGACTCCAAGTCCATAGAAAATTGGCAAAGCTGAGCTGGGCAGTGATGGCACACACCTTTAATCCCAACACTTGGGAGGCAGAGGCAAGCAAATCTCTGTGAGTTAGGCCAACCTGGTCTACAAATGAGTTCCAGGACAGCCAGGGTTACACAGTGAAGCCATGTCTCGGGGAAAAAAAAAAGTCTAAAAAAGAAAGAAAGGAGGGATGGAGGGAGGGAGGAAAGAAGGGAGGGAGAGAGAAAGGGAAAGGAAGGAAGGAAAGAAGAAAGGAAAGAAGGAAAGAAAGAGAGAAGAAAAAAGGAAGGAAGGAAGGAAGGAAGGTTGGTTGGCAAAGCTGTTACCTATACAGGCCAGGCTAGAGAGAAATAATCTAAGTTTTTCTTGTGAGTCGAAGTATTTAAGAACAATTGATCAGTCTCCATAAAGACCTAGCAACTGCAGTTTCCTCCTCCCGGATGTTTACAAGTCAAGACTGGTCTACAGAGAGACCTCCTACAGAGACTAGCTAACTCCTCCTTCTGAGCTGTGTCAATAGTTCAGATTCCAGCCTTAGACCCCCCACCACACACACACCTGATCCCAGATTCAGTGTAGGTGTCTGTGTAGCTGTCATTTTCCTCATTTCCTGGCTCACCCTAGCTATGGTTCCAGGACTCAAGTTTCTCGGAATGTGGCAGGGTATGATACATACATACATACATACACAGAAGGTGTATGCGAATTAACTGTATTGTAACTTCTAGGGAACAAAAAGAATACAAAACTCAGGATGTGTTTTACAGGACAGAAACATATTACACTGTCAATGAGTGTTTGTTGAACAAATGAATGAAGTGCCATTCAACATTGCCCTAACTCGGTATCTATCTAGTATGTAGTTTCTCCTATCCTATTCTGAAACAACTTGAACAAGGCTTTGTTTCTTTCTCAGGAGCCCAATTTGGCCTTGATGACTGTTCTACTTTTACTGCTATGATCAAAACAATGACCAAAAGCAACTTGGAGAAGAAAGGGTTTATCTGGCTTACACGTCCCAGTCCCAGTTAGTTGATCATTGAGGATCATCATGGCAATAACTCAAACAGGGGTGGAGGGCAGAACTATGGAGGAAGGTTTCTGATTTGCTTCAGTGCTTATATTTAGCTACCATCTGCCCAAAGGTGGTATCACCAGCAATGGGCTGGGCCATCCCACATCAATCAACATACAAAATGTCACACAGACTTGCCTACAGGGCAGTGCGATGAAGGCATTTCCTGTTCCCTCCTCCCAGATGGCTCTAGTTTTGTATTAAGTTCACAAGCAACTAATTGGCACAGTGACTTATATTTCATGGGTGGGGGAGCATTTAGGCCCTGACTCTCAAATCTCCCATTACTGAATTACACCTCTACCTTCATCTGGACCCAGTTTATAGACTCCCTCCAGTTCAAATAAAATGTACCCCTTCATTTGTATACTAGACCAAGCCGCTTGTTGTGTTCTGGATACTATCTTCTCTGGCCTCCGCAAGGACTTTTCTTCTGCCAGTCCTTTTGTTTGTAACATTTCCATGCTTACACAAATACGCCATCTAGTTTTCACCGCTTCATTCCACACACCGGGTTCCAGCCATGTTAACTTTGCCATTCTCCCATTTTCCTCTCTCTTCTTCCTTGCATTTCTTTCTTATCCCTCCCCTCATGACCTGGAACACATGCTCCTCCTGGCTCAGTCTCTCAAGCGCTGTGATTGCAGGGGCTTTGTCATTCTTAAACATCAACAACAAAAAAACCTCATGACTTTCGTATTTACTATTTTCTTGCCTGGGGAACTCTGACTTTTTTGTTTGTTTTCCTTTAAATTTCTTTTTTTAAAAAAATCAAATTAGGGGCTGATGAGATGGCTTAGAAGTGAAAGCACCTGCCGCTGAGGCTGATGACCCGAGGTGGATCTTCACAACCCACATGGTGAACGTGCACCACCACGCCTGGCTTGGTTTTTTGTTTGTTTGTTTGTTTTTGTTTTTTTATGAGGACCCTGTTGTGCAGCAAAGAAGCTCCGGCAAGCTAGGGGCTTCAGAACTGCCACAGATATGTGGATATTACAGCTTCTTTTGCTTCTCCTCCTCCTCTTCTTTTTTGGTGGGACAAAGCCTTTTTTCTGCTGTGAAGTCTAGGGTAACCTGAGTTCAGCATCTTCTAGCCCCACTCTCATGGGTGCTAACATTGGGGTGTGCTGTGTTTTGCATATTTTTCCCCCCCGGGACAGGGTTTCTCTGTGTAGCCCTGGCTGTCCTAGAACTAGCTTTGGAGACCAGGCTGGCCTCGAACTCACAGAGATCCGTCAGCTTTACCTCCCGAGGGCTGGGATTAAAAGAGTATGCCACTACTGCCCGGCTCGCCCGGCCATTTTTTAAGTCTTTAATCCACAAACTTTGGATATTGATAGAAGTTTATTCTTTTACATATTTTCAGGGTGGTGGTGGCGCACAGCCTTTAATCCCAGAACTCAGGAGGCAGAGAAAGGTGGACCTTTGAGTTTGAGACCAGCCTGGTCTATAAAATGAGGTCCAGGAAAGCCAGGGAGAAACCCTGTCTTGATCTCCTCAGCCACTGCCCTCCCCCCAAAGTTCGTTCGTTCTCTCTCTCTCTCTCTCTCCTTAGAATCATCTCAACGCTAATTTTAGCTGATCCTTTCTCCAGCAATTAGTAATACCATTCCCATTATAAAACAAGTTCCTTTGTGCTTGTTTTCAGTTCGGGCCTAACAATCTTTGTTTATTTTCCTCCAAACGGGAGTGCTTTTATCCAGGCTTCATTCATTCTGTGATACCGTTGCCTCGCTCTTCGGCTCGCAGCTCGGCTGACACATTCTCTCTCCTATCTCGATTGTCTCTAGGCCCTTGGCGCTCCTCGACTCTGAAAGGCCTGTAGAACCCAGGGCCGCTAGAACCTCGCCGTTGCTAGGCTGTAGCTAGGGCGGCTGCGGTGGAGACTTCTGAGAGGAGCAACATTCGGCGTCCTAGTGACGGAATAAAGTTGGCGCCAGCGTCGCCACCGAGTGCGTCACCATTCACGGGCGGCCGGGGGCGGTGCCAGGCGGAGTCACGTGGTTTGGTTGCCTACGCGCTGCTGGGCCGTGGGAAGATGGCGGACGGAAAGGGAGACGCCACCGCCGCCGCCGCCGGGGCCGGGGCCGGGGCTGAGGCTCCGGCAGTCGCGGGAGCCGGAGCCGATACTGAGTCCATGGCTCGGGGTCATCGGCCTGCCTCTCCCGCGCCGGGAGCCCCGGGCCTGCGACCGTGTCTCTGGCAGCTGGAGACCGAGCTTAGGGAGCAGGAGGTGTCCGAGGTCTCATCTTTGAACTACTGCCGGAGCTTCTGCCAGGTGAGGGGCCGACTAGCTGGCCGAGGGTGGAGGGGCGGGGAGGCCTGGGGAAGAGGCCCCGAGTCCGCCTGAGAAGCCGGGGGCTGGAGGAGAAAATGCCACCCCCGTGTCTCGCCGCGCCCCCGGGCCGGGCAGGCCCAGCTCTGCCACAACCCTGACTTCAGTCACTGCCGGGGCGGGTTGCGCTGGGCGGTACTGAGAGCCCAGAAGAGCTCCCTGGAAGGGCTGTGCCCTGTCGCTCTTGCCTGGGTCCTGGCCGGGTGGTTGGAGCGCCACTGCCCCCCTGAGGGATCGATTGCCAGTTCCTGCAGGGAGACGCTTCTTCTTTTTTCTGAGTAGTGTGCTGATCTCCAAACTGGAAAGCCCTGGTTTTTCTGAATAATCAGGAGAGGTGGACAAGAGCTAGAGACTTGTCTTTGGAGTCAGCATCTTTTGACTTCCCAGAGATACGGCGGTTGGTTTTGGATGGCTTCGAGAAATTCCGGATTAGGATTACTGAACCGTTTGGTTGGTTGTGGTTTTGGGGGTTTTTTTTGTTTTTCATTTGGGTCGGGCATGAAGAGCTATGTTTATGCCATCCTGTGACCTGTTCTGTATCCGTTTGTGGATTGTACTGAGAATGGGGCTCCTGAGTCCTGTAGTGGGAATCAGACTGGGAGTAGAAGAAGTCGGGTGAGAAAGGTATGGAGTGGCCTATTCATCTGGTGTCGGGTGATTGATCGTTTCTGTGCGGGTCCCGATCTATGGGGCTGCATGCTGACGGGTGTGTTTTTAAGTTTGCTCTCCATGATCATATTGCAGTGTTTCGCCATGTTTTCAAGCGCCTCACAAGTGTAAATGACTGCCCTTATTGTTTCTGCTTCTGGTACTTGCACTATCGGGTTTCAGTCATCCCTCTGCTCCTCATTTGGCATACCTTAGAGAATACAAAATAATCGAAGTATGTTGGTACGTGGGCTCTTAATGAGCAGTTGAGCGCTGAAAAATTGTGGTGTTACAAAGTTGTAGTTGGGACAGGGAACAATTTACTCTGCTAGTCCTGGACAGATTTAAAGTTATCTCTGTTAGGTGCTATTCTGTTGGTGTCTACCCTGACCCAGAACCTCGTCTGTTTGGATTTTGGTCTCTGCGCATCTTTTCTGTACATTAGATCATTCCGGTTCCTGTGTGCGTGATGTTCAGCATTTCCATTGTTGTGTGTTTTACAAGTAATGATCATTCTTTTGGGGACTGTCATTTATTCCGCAGACTTTTGCCAACCCTTAGAATGGTGTCAGATGTTTAACCTAGCGTTGAGGAACCGTGAATAAGACTTCCCTTGATGAGATGTCAGTATTTGCAAAGCAGGGTGGGGAATACCTGTAACTCCAGCACCGTGGCAGGAAGATCTTTGCAAGTTTAAGGACACCGTAGGCTTCCAGGCTAGGCTCCTCAGATACACATTTCAAAAAGAAATGGCAGTATTTCCAGTGCAGTTTTGGTAGCGGTGAGGAAAAGAGTCACACAGAGTGTGTGAGGGAACATCCTAGTGAGAATGACAGGGAAAAGGTGAATGTAATGGGAGAAGCTCCTTTGAATAGGATAGACCCTTTGACTTCTGGGATATAAATGAATTCTAGGAAGGCTGGGGCTCGGGCTGAGAAGGCACACAATGCTATGGGACAGGAGGGCATTAATTGCAGGGAGAGTGGGGGTAAGAAAACAACTGAGGATTTCGAGGAGAGCTTTTGCTCTTGAGTTACCTACCAGCAAGGCTCACAAGTGAATGTAGCCAGTTAGGTTGGATCTTCTCAGAATACACTGTAGGTAAGTGTTCTGGGAAACTGTGACCATGAATTAGGTTGGCTGAAGAGCTTTCTAGGTTTTACTTTTTTTTTCCCCCCCTTTCTTCCCTCTGTGTACCCCTGGCTGTCCTGGAGCTTGCTCAGTAGACCAGGCTGGCCTTGAACTTCATCTGCCTCTACCTCCAGATCACTGAGATTAAAGGCAGGCACCACCGCTGCCTGGTTTTGGTTCTGCATTTGAAAGGCAGAAAAAGAAACACTTCATTGTACTACTACTGAGTGCTGAAGATGAGAAGCTGGGTGCACATAATATATAGATTGGTGGTCATTAGTGCATTTTCATAAAGGGCTGAACTGTACTCTTCCAGTGTTTACTACTACAAATTGTTTTATTGGGTATCTAGCGATGTCATCCTAGCCTGGGTGTGGTGGTACATATCTTTAGTCCCAGAGGCAGAAGGGGCAAGTGGGCCTCTGGGTTTAAGGATGCTTGGTCTACATGGATCATTCAGGCGTACACACTGAAACCCTGTCTCAAAAAGAAAGAAATGCTCAGTCAGGCAATAGTTGCACACTTTTAATCCCAACACTAGGCAAGTATCTGAGTTTGAGGCCAGCCTAGCCTTCAGAGCGAGTTCCAGGATAGCCAGGGCTACACAAAGAAAACTTGTCTTAAAAAAAAAATGTTCTAAAGACTTAAATTGTACCAACAGTTGTAACATGCTGTTAACAAATAAGAAATAAGCCAGGCAGTGATAGCACATGCCTTTAATCCCAGCACGCAGGAGGCAGAGGCAGGTGGATCTCTGTGAGTTCAAGGCCAGCCTGGTCTATAAGAGCTAGTTCCCAGGATAGGCTCCAAAGCTACAGAGAAACCCTGTCTTGAAAAAGCAAAAACAAAAACAAAAACAAAAAAAAAACAAATAAGAAATATGTCTATCTCAAGCCAGACAAGTAATTAATGCATGCCTTTAATCCTAGTGCTTGAGAGGCTGAGCCAGGTGAAAGAGCAGCAGCCAGTGTTCTTTATTTGTTTGTTTGTTTGCTTGCTTGTTTGCTTTTTTTTTTCTTTTTCCCAATATAAGGTTTCTCTGTGTATCTCTGGCTGCCCTGGAACTCACTCTGTAGACTACGCTGACCTCGAACTCACTAATATCCGCCTGCCTCTGCCCCTCTTAGTGCTGGGATTAAAGGTATGTGCCACCACTACCTAACTAGTTTTCTTAACCACTGAGTCATCTCTCCTGTCCAAGAACTCTGGTTTTAGGGTTAATCATCCGAGACTCTGCCTTGGTAATAAGGTGAAGAACAAGCAAGGAAGATACTCCAGCTTCCAGTCTTTGTTTGGAGAAAGACCATTCCCAGAAGTTGTCCTTTGACTTCCATGGTACCACACATCTGCACATAAATGTTCTTTAAAGACGGGCGGTGGTGGCGCACGCCTTTAATCCCAGCACTCGGGAGGCAGAGGCAGGTAGATCTCTGTGAGCTTGAGGCCAGCCTGGTCTACAAGAGCTAGTTCCAGGACAGATGCCAAAGCTATAGAGAAACCCTGTCTCAAAAAACTTAAAAAAAAATTTTTTTTAAAAAAAGATTAATGCTACACTTTTTGTTACTGTTGAAAAATTGATGTCTTTAGATTTTTTTTCCCCTATATTTAGGAAACCAAAATTCTCACAGTTTAAGTCAGCAAGGTGATTCAGTGGATGGAAGCTGCCGAGCCTGATAACCTGAGATTGACCCAGTGACCCACATGGTAGAATAAGGTCCTAATCCCTTAGGTTTTCCTCTGACCTCCACATGTACAGACTAGCATGCCCTTCAATGAATGGATGAAGGAATGAATAAAAATTTTAAAAACATTTTGAAAGTTTTAGAACTGGTGGCTCTATTTGTAACACAAGCTTTGAAGGCTTTTTAATTAAACTTCATTTAGCATACATGAAATTAGGAGGCAGATGAGTGATTCTACTCTAAGAATACCAAAGTAATTTTATGAGTAAACATGTTTCATACTTTTAGATTCCAAGTTTATAGTAACATTGCACATATTTTTTTGTTTGCTCACTTGCTTTTTGAGACAGGGTCTGACTTTGTAGCCTTGGCTTCTAGACCAAACTGTCCTGCCACTCAGAGAGAGATGCCTGCCTCTACCTCACAAGTGCTGGAAATAAAGGCTATACACTCCCAGCTCAACTTCATTGATTTCTAATGGTTAAATAAGTACTGCATGTGTCTTTCTGGATTTGTTACCGAGTAGAAGGGTTCTGAGTCAAATAGGCCACACAATAATTATCTCTCTATGGTCAGGGTATGCATTCCAAGACTGTTGATGTCAGAAATTGCAGGCACTATAAAGCTCTTTCCATACTGTTGTCATTGTCCTTGCCCTCAGGCCCCCCCCCCCAAATATTTACCCATGGAGCAGGTGGGATGATTCAGAGAGGAAAATTGGAATCGGTTACTGCAAAGCCTAATAACCTGCGTTCAGTCCCAAGAACCCACAGTAAGAAAGAACAACTAACTCTCCAAAGTAGTTCTCTGACCTTCAACACATTCACCAACACAAATAACTAAGTAGGCTTACTTTATAAATCAGGCATAGTAACCCCGTATCCTAGAACAGTTACAACAGTAGACTGTAGTGAAGGTTGTCTGAATGGTGTCTCTTTCTCAAGGTGTCATGTATCCTTCCTATGATGACATGAGATGAAGTTCCTAAGAGAGGAAATGAAAGATGGACTTCTTAGGACTTACCCATTAGCTTTAAGCTATATAAGGATCACTTGAGCACAACCTCCGTAATAACTGAGCTGGCTACACA